ACTAAAAAAATTTTTTCTAACCAGCAAATATACAGGAAGAAGTATAGGTTGAGCCACAATTGGTACCCAGATTTCCTCATTTTCAAACGAATGCTTATTGCTTTTTTGATAGATCAGGATTTTTCAAACCAGTCATTTGTATACCAACATCGTAATTTTTGCCACATTAAATTAACCATATAAGTAATATTTTTGAACTTGGTTTTGTTCTAGGCCAGGGGTGGGCAAACTTTTTGACTGGAGGGCCACAATGGGTTCTTAAACTGGACCGGAGGGCCAGAACAAACGCATGGATGGAGTGTTTGTGTAAACTAATATAAATTCAAAGTAAACATCATTACGTAAAAGGGTACGGTCTTTTTTTTTTTTTTTTTTTTTTAGTTTTATTCATTTCAAATGGGCCGTAGTTTGCCCACGGCTGTTCTAGGCCAAGCATCTTCAAATTGAGAGTGGTTGTAGTCATATTTTTTATTACAATAAAACATGTAGTAGCCAGGCCGGCATGTCTCAGTGGTTGAGCATCGACCTATGAACCAGAGGGTCATAGTTCAATTCCTGGTCAGGGCACTTGCCCCGGTTGCAGGCTCCATCCTCAGTAGGGGGAGTGCAGGAGGCAGCCAATCAATGATTTCTCTCATCATTGATGTTTCTATCTCTCTCTCCCTCTCCCTTCCTCTCTGAAATTAATAAAAACATATTTTTACAAATATGCACCTACTGTAACTATTTTTAAAAGCTCATCTGTACAACCAGAGGTATGCAGTTTGGGAAGCACTGATTAGAGAAGACTATGTCAAGAGAAAATATAAGCATCAAGACTGGATAATCATTCCTAATTATTTTAAATTTTGTTGCAAAGTTCAAAGCTTGATTCCATGGAGACCCTAATGTCCTCTGATTCTCATCTGAAAAACTCTAAAAAGACTCTGGTAATTTCTTTTTATCTATTGAACAAATGAATGAAAATGATTCTGATCAAATTAGCAAACTATTGGTTATTACCAGAAAATTATAATCTTGAGAAAAGTACACATGAACAACCTAACTTACCAAATAGCAATATGATATACTTTTAATTCTGGTTTTGAAATCAAGTTTCAGCTAGTAGAATATATGCCTTACTCACCAAGTTTGGGACAGCACTCATTCTCCAATGAATTCAATAACCTTTCAAGGGAAAAAGAAAAAGGAAAATATGAGTTCTTATTTAGAAATGAAATGAAACACATTTTGCAAATCAATGAGCTTAAAATATCAGGGAACACACCTGGTTACACTTGAAAGTTATCAAAATGCTTCCATTTAGCATATTTCACTTTAAAATATCCACAGTATGTTTAGAACCCTCTAATTACTAAAGACAAGTTAGTTTTTATGTGCATGATGAGAGCATGTCAGACTGGAAGATCAAAATGATCTGTAAGTTCCCTATTTTGTTATTTATTATTTCTTCCTCATATAAGTAACTGCCTTGTAACAACAGTTTTCAGTTTGGAGTTCCCCATTCTCTATGAAAATATTTTAATTTCTACTTTTATAGATGGCTTGACATTAATATATGCATATTCCAGTTCACATGAATATTCATCATAATCAAATATTTCTATGCAATTTCAGTGGTTTCTATTTGTACTTGTATGTGTTCCCTATTCAAAAGAAGCAAACTTTAGTGCCTATTTTTAAACCAGTTTTTATTGGAAAAAATATAATGCAAGTATGGAACATTGTATAAAATAAATATATAAATGAATGTTCACTTCATGATTATTTTGCCAAAATTTCAACTCCCTTTTTATATTCACTTGGGTGTTCCTTTTCTTCTTCTTCACATTTTTGTTATTTCAAGGACAGATCTTAAGTATCAGCAACATTGTTTTATCCAATTTGCAATATTTTGTGAATGCTCTATTGCTCTCTAACCTTATGATTACCTTTTTGTATGTTATTTTTTTTTAGATAGTTTGTCTTTGACTTCCTTTAAAGCTTAAATTATCTACCAAGATATATGCTGGGTTCCGGAATTAAAAAAAAAAAAAAAAAGGTGAATGCTCTAAAATAACCATATTCTGAATGGCAATCATTTTCTTGCATTCTTTACATGGTTTTTATCATCCAAGGATACATCCAACATAAACCATAGGATTTTTGTTTAAAAGAAGTATGTATTTTAAGTGTCTTTTTACCTACAGGTTTTCTTTCCATTTTTTCCTCCAGTGCAAATTACTTTCTTTTTGTTAAAGAAAGGGGCATTGTTTTTTTTTATTGTTTTTGTTTTGTTCCATAGCCAGATTTTGCTAATTCTATCCAGGAGGTAGAATGAATGAAATATATATATATAAAATCTGTCCACTGTATTTTGTGTAAAATTGCTATTTTGGGGGCTTGATCAGGTCAGGTTGCAATTTTCTTTTCTTTTTTTCCTGACAAGATTATTCACAGATGGTGGTGCATCCTTCTTCCATCAGAAAGTAATCGCTATCTGGGGGTCCTTTTTGTGATGTTAGGGATTGGTGCTCAGTGTCTAGAACAGTGTTTCTCAAAAGTCATCTTCATTTCACCCCACCCCCAGATCCTTTTAAACATTATTTTCCTAATCACCCCTTCCCCTTATAAATTGTCTTTTCCCACACTTGGAGAGCCATAATTTCTTTAAATATACAGGGATGGGCAAAAGTACATTTACAGTTGTTCATATGGAAAAAATATATGCAGGATATGATTATTATAACAGTTTTATTAACTCAAAAGAATAAAATGTTTCATGTATTCACAACTGTAAACCTGCTTTGCCCATCCCTGTATTTCAGTACCATACTCTCCTTTTTTTCTGGAACTCTGATGACATAAATGCTAGATCTTTTTTGTGGTCTTTTATTCCTGAGGTGATGGGGTGTTTTCTCTCTGTTGATTTTTCTCTTTGTTGCTCAGATTGGATGCGTTCTACTGAAGCAGCCTCCAGGCGCTCTTCCCACTTCCATCTCCATCCTGTCATGGAGTCTTTGCAGTTTTGTCAATGATTTTATTTCCCAGATATGAAGTTTCCTTTTGGTTCTTATTTATAGCTTCTATTATGTTGCTTATACTTTCAATTATAACTTCTGTTTCAAGATTTTTAGTGATCACTTGTTCAAGTATTTTTTAATAGCTGCCGAAAATCTTTTCCAGATAATTTCAACATTTGTGCCATCTATTGAATACTTTCATGTGAGTTGAGATTTTTATGCTTCTTCATAAACGGAATAACTGTGGATTAGATCCTGGATATTTTGACTTTTACACTATGAGCCCCTGGGTCTTGTTTCAGTCCTATGAAGAATGTTGATATTTTTGCCCTAGTAGAAACTTGAGTTGGTTAGGTTGGGCTGCAAGTTCCAACCCACCTTCTCTGGGCTGTGATGTCAAAGCATTTCAATTTGAAAAGTCTTTGCAGTGCTTTATTTTTACTTAATTTTGACAATCCTAATAAAGATTCATCGAAGTAGGTATTATGATACTCGTTTTACAGATAAAAAGGTAGGTTTTGATTCAGCCTATCACTAGCTATATGATATTGAACCTTGATTTTCTCATCTGTACAATGGGATTGATAACATCTAGATCACTGGATTGTTTGTGGACTGAGTAAAATAACCCAAGAAACATGCCTAGAATATTTCAAACCCTAAAGAAATCTTCTCTCGTTTAAAAATATTGGTTTTATTAAAGAAATATAATACATAATCAAATACACACATTTTAAGTTATAGGATACACTGTGTAACTACCACGTCCATCAAGATATTATAGAACATTTCTACTACACCAGAAAGTTCCCCCTATTCCTTTGAGGTCAACCCTCCATTCATCTTCCACCCCAGGCAACCACTGTTCTGACTTCTATCACACCAGATACGCTTTGTTTGCTCTAGAACTTTATATTAATAAAATCATACAGACGGTACATTTTCTGCCTGGCTATTTTCACTCGGCAAAATATAATTCAGATTCTCCTATATCAGCAAACTGTACCCAAAGTAAAAAGCCAAGAAACAGGTAGTCATAATGTCACCCCTATAACTCAGGAGAATGCTACCACCATGTACTCACCATATACTGAAAACAAACAGGATGTGCTTTATGTCAAGGGCCGTCTATCTGTGAATGGTATCAAGCCAGATTACATTACACCCCAAAGCCTGACGCACTGCGGGGATGACCTTGAGCAAGCCATTTGTTTACTAGGAAGCTTCAGTTTCTTTCTGTGGGTTGTTGTGAGGATGAATATGGAATAAGGTGAGAGAAAGCGCTATATACCAAAGTACAATTAAGGTATTTTGTCAACTCTAAAATATTATCCAATGGTCTTTGGAAGGGTTGCGGAGAGGAACAATCTACGAGAGGGGCACGTAGGAGCTTTGCGACTTGGGAAGTGAAAAAAAAAAAATATGGAAGAGTCTGCTTTTAGAACTGAGGAGCCACGGAATTGCATTGGCCTTCTGTATCTGTTACGTCCAGGAATGCTCCTTTCCTACATTTGTATTTCTCTCTTGCCCGGCGTTTATTTTTACCAACCTCCTTCCTGACAGCTGTCAGAGTTTTCATACTGGATTTGTGACCTCAATTTTCAGGCTCCCGCGGAGACCAGAGGAACGCCGCGCTGGCGTGGGCTTTCTCACGCTTAACTTTCCTTTTGTGCTGTCATTGGCTGTTGCTGCTCCAGGACCCGCCCCCAATGACCTAAATGCTGATTGGATACCAATGTCCTTTTTTTTTTTTTTGTTAAGGCAAGAGGTGGATCCTGGAGCTAGGAGGGAAGACGATTGGGGGGCGGGCAGCTAATGCGCATGCGTGCTTCCTGGAGCGGGGATTGGCGGGACGGGGCGGGGCTCCCGGCTCGGCGCAAGCTCTGTGGGCGGAGGGGGCGGAGCTGCCGGTGTCAATTGCTCCAAGTGTCGGAGCCCGAAGCATCCTCCCCGTACCTGCCCCGCCCGGCGCCTCGAACGGCAGGTGAGGGCTCTTGGGCAGCAGAGGGCCTGGCCCGGGCGACTAGAGTTGTGGCCTCGGTCCCGCCGAGGACCCAGCGTCCGGGGCGGGCTGGATCGGGCCCTGTGCACCAGGGCCCGGGAGGAGCGGCCTGGGGTCTGGGCGTCTGGTGGGCGGCTGGGACCTGGCTCCCTGCAGAACCGCCGCGCATCTCTTTTTCTCATCGTCTCATCATTGGGCCCAGAGGATCCTCTGGGCGTGGGGGCGCCCGCAGCCCCTGACGGAACGTCCTGCCGCCTTCTCCCCGCCGCCCTGGAGCCCAGGCCGCTGTCCAGCACCCCCGCCCTCAAATGGGGCCGCGGGAGGGCGTATGGCGCTAGGGGACCTGGCGCGCCTGGACTTGGCCGCCGCTGCTCTGGGGGCAAGTGAGCGGTACGGTGAGGGCTGGCGACATCTGTCCAGGCGTTGAACGTAGCTCCTGGGTTAGCATCTTCTTGGGTGACGTGTTTGGGGGGGGTTCTGTTGGAACCGAGAAAGAGCAGGGCTTTTGTTGTGCAGTGCATTGATCCCCGTACTGTGACGTAACGGTGTTTCGGACGTGCTATGACGTGGTCTCAACACCGTTTCTGCACCCGGATCCACAGTTCTCTCTCTATATACTCTGTGCTGTGCTCATTGCGCTCAATATACATAGCCGTTTCCTCGGGATCTGCCTCCCGTTCAGATCCTTGGTTGGCCAAACAGTTCCTTAATTTGTGGATTTGTGTAACCAGAACAAGTCAGAACTTGAACGGGCCCGAGCGAACAAACCATGTTCACAGTTGATGCAGCTTGAAGGGAATGTAGTTTATCCTCAGTTGTGTAGTTAGTAGAAATATCAAAGGGATTTGACATCAGGAGCTGCAAAATGTTTGGCAAACTTGGATTAAGGTCCTATTACAGTTTCTTCCATTGCATGATGTTAAAAGGGGGCTTTGTAGTTAGACCTGGGTTCAAATAATTGGTACAGACGTTGGCTCAGAAATCTAAGGCAAGATGCATTGACTTTCTGAGATATAGTGTCCACATCTGTAAATTGCAGTGTTCTTCTATTGATTTGATGCATTTAAATATGTGAAGCATTTACTATATTAATGCAGAATGACATTATTTTAATAGTTTTTTCATAACTGCTAGCATTGATCATTATTTCTTCTCCCTGCCCCCCATCGAGAGAGAGGAAGGGGGGAAGGAGAGAGAGAGAAACATTGATGTGAGAAACATCAATTGTTTTCCTCCCCTAAGCACCCAGACCAGGGATTGAACAAAAACCTGGGGATGTGCCCTGATTGGGAATTGAACCTGTGACCCTTCAGTACATGGGACAACACTCTAACCATGAAGAAACACTGGCCAGGGCTGATCATCTTTTAAAAAAATACTGGATGTACAGTTGTATTTTATTATGTATTTCTCTGATAACCAAGAAACAGCACTTTCTCTTATTTACTGCTCTTTGTAAACTATTTGTACATATCCTTTGCTTACTTAGTCACTGGGTGTTTATTCTTAGAAACAGTAAAGCATATGAAAGGATCCCACTGGGTCACATAATTTTCTTTTGAAAAACAAGCTTAAATTTCATTTCTCTGTGGTTATGTTTCTTTTTCTGGTTGCAGACCAGTCACCAAGGATTTTGTATCCAAGGTCCAAAAGTTTGTTACCCAAGATGATGAATGCTGACATGGATGGTATGTTATTTTCCTTTTGTATAATCCTGGTTTTGTGGGTGCTTTTGCTTTATTAAGCAATGGAAAGAACAGAGAAGAATATTTAGAGTTTTGGATTTGGCTAATTTACTCATTTATATATCTTCTAGTTCAGGGAAGGATTTAAGGCAGCTTCTGTTCCTTAACTGTGAGATATTGGCAAAACACTTTCTCTTCACGTTGGTGTCCTTATCTGCAGTGTGGGGATAGAACTTTTTGTTTCACAGGTCTCTTGCATAAGTCAAGTTAGATAGTAAATATAAAACGTTTTGCAGATCTTTAAGTGCTACCCTACACAAATGGTACCTAATGTTTATGGTAAATTTGAACCTTTTTATTACAGCAGTTGATGCTGAAAATCAGGTGGAACTGGAGGAAAAAACACGACTTATTAATCAAGTGTTGGAACTCCAACATACACTTGAAGGTTAGTTTGCATTTTGTAGCTTTCTTGAGTAACATAAATTAATTGAAATTGTGAGCCTTTGTGTTGTTAAATTTTGTTAGTGCGCAGTTTTAAAAAGTATAAATTGCAAGCCCATTTCAATAGTTTCCGCCGTCCCCTTCTCCCTGGGCCTGTGGCTTTGACTGGTGATTTTAAAGAACAGATATGCTTCAATAAGGAAGTCAAATAGTGTCCTTAAGCTTCCCTCTTAAAGTCTATCATAATGCTACTCAGTACATGAGAGCTCCTTTTCATAAGGTAACATTGTGTTACTAAGTCTTGTACTAAAAGCGGTTTTCACCCCAGAAATTAAAAGGGAATTGATCTGAGTTTTTCATTTTCTAGATGTCTTACATAAAATTAATAGTAACACTGAAACATCTTTTGGTTTTTAATTAAGAGGTTGGGTTTTGGGGTTTTTTTGTGTTTTCTGTGTGTGTGTTTTTGTTTTTGACACCAGAGTGAGCAGATCATGTCACTCCAGTGGCTTCCCTCGTCACAGTTAATAAAAGCCAAGTTATTCTCTGGAAGTCTATTCCCTTCTACCTTTCAGAGCCATGTCACACACAGGCCTCTTACATTCTACCCCAGATACTCTGCCCTTCACATCTCCCACTGTTCTTTCTGTATGCTTCTACTCAGGGTCTTAGCAGTTGCTGTTCGCCTCTGCTTTTTCCCATAGTTATAGGCTCATTCCTTCACTTTAGGTTTGTGTTCAAATTTCTTTGATCAAAATAGCTGTCCCTGACTATACTGTATAAAAGGGCTACTTCCCTTTTGCTTTCGGTGACCCTTACTCTTCTTGCTTTTTCTTCTGACCCCCACTTGGGGCCCCCTATATGCACATTAAAATGTAAGCTCTGTGAGGGCAGAGACCTTCCTTTTTTGTTACTGTTGCCTCTGGAACAGTGAGTGCCAGGCTTTAGCCGGCACCCAGTACTTAGTGTTAAAGGAATGAATGTTAGTGATGTTTTATTTGATCGTCAAGAACTACATCTTTTGAATTTTTTGCTAATGTAAAAATACAAAATGTTCAATTGCTTGGAAACCAGCTTTCTATATCCAGTATATAAATTCAGTTGTGTTCACCTACCACATCTTAAAGACCCTTTTAGGTTTTAGTCAACATAAATGTTATTTATAAAGAATAACACTTAGTCTACTGTGAAATGTCATTTTAGGAATTTTGGCTATTTGCACTCTGTTTACTTTAACTTCTAAAGTAATCTCAATTTAAAAATAGAAAATGTAAGAACTGTGTTCTCTCAAAAATGAATCTTAAGCATTTTGTACAATGGAAACATTGCTATCATGTTATCGATAATGGGCTTTTTTATTTTTAATATAGACCTCTCTGCAAGGGTAGATGCAGTGAAGGAAGAAAATCTGAAGCTAAAATCAGAAAACCAAGTTCTTGGACAATATATAGAAAACCTCATGTCAGCTTCTAGTGTTTTTCAAACAACTGACACAAAAAGCAAAAGAAAGTAAGAGATCAATATCCTTTCTGTTATGGATTGCTGCTGATCTTTTTTTAAAAAAACTTGGATAGATTCCAGAAGTTATAGTACTTTTGTTTGTGGCTTCATTGAATATTTATGAAGATAATGTCATATCTAGGCAAAATTAAGAGCATAACAGACTTCCGTGAGTTTGTGTATTATGTTAGTCTATGAAAATGTAGAGACTTTATAATTAGAAATGCATATATTTATGAAACTTGATGTCTTATCAGATTTAGGTTCAGCACTGTCTTTTATTATATAGTAGGAGATACAAGAAAATAACCATGTTGTGAAAAGTGACCAAAATCATGTACTGAATACACAGCTTTATGTACCCTGTCTACCATCTTGTGCCTCTTCTTCATTTGCTTCTTCCTTCCCATTTCCCTTATCCTGAAGGAAAAACTGGTTTCACATTTGTAAGAGCAATTTTAGTAGTTAATCATTTATGAGAGTAACCTGAACAGTATTGTTGAAACTTAACCAAAAGTTAGGGCTTGTTATTTATTATACAGCCACCCGTCCACAAAATGACATTTCAGTCCATGACAGACTGAAGATACAACAGGTATATACCATGTAGCCTAGGTGTGTGTAGTGGGCTATACCATCTAGGTTGGTGTAAGTGCACTCTGTGACGTTTGCACAACAAAATTCCCCAGTGATGCTTTTCTCAGAACATATCCCTGTCATTAAGCAGTGCATGACTGTATTTAATACTGGGATTTAGGTAGGATTGTTGGTTTTCTTTTTTTTTTCTTCTTTTTTTTAAATTCACAGTTTTTTGGGTTTTTTTTAAATATATTTTATTGATTTTTTTACAGAGAGGAAGGGAGAGAGATAGAGAGCCAGAAACATCGATGAGAGAGAAACATCGATCAGCTGCCTCCGGCACATCTCCTACTGGGGATATGCCCGCAACCCAGGTACATGCCCTTGACCGGAATCGAACCTGGGACCCTTCAGTCCGCAGGCCGACGCTCTATCCACTGAGCCAAACCGGTTTCGGCTGTTGGTTTTCTTTAATCATTTGAAAACAGAAGCTATAAAAATGAAGTGGGGGTTTTCCTTGAAGCTGAATTGGCAAGTTGGGAAATTTTGTGATTAGAAACTTCCTTTTACACAAAATAACTTGGGATCTGAAAAGATGAACTCTGGTTGTACGGATGTTTGAAATACAAAAATTTTGAGGAAAAATAGAAATAAGATGGAAAAAGTACTTGGTAAATAGTAGTAACCAACTCCAAATATTTTTACTCCATATTTGTGTTATCTCTGGCACAGATTAGATCTTTTGGGGAATATATATGAAAGTGGATTAAGTTTGACTCACCTATGTAAACCACATCTACAATAGTTACAAAGAGTTTGGTCTCAAAGTATATTTATAGTATCTAGCAGATAAATTTTTGCAAAATCTTTTGAGTGTATTAGTATCAGAATCATGAATAAATAGGGAGAGTTTTCATGTAAACTAATCGATAATGTTCAGTATTTTATCTCACTACTTCTCCCAGAGTTTTCTGTAAGCCCAGCTACTTGGTATGCAGAGTTTTAATCATTCTTTAACAATTTTTTAAAAATTTAGTTTATAGATTCCATTTGCTAAGGAAATTAATATCAGAATTAATATAAAAATATAGGAAAAGAGATTCATTAATATAAATTATAGTTACTAGGTTTGGGCTACTTTTAATCATGGAATAATCTTATGTTTGTATTGGTGTATGATTCAATGAATGACTTTAGCTATATGAATATACTGCTATAATCATAATGCAAAACATTTTGCATCCTTTTTGTTACCTAATTTACAATGTTTAAAATTCTGTTGCAGTTTTGCTTTGCTGTTTAATAAAAGGCTGTTTCAGAGATTGTGTGTGTTAGTTTTTTGTTTGTTTGTGGAGAGATTGTGTGTGTTTTGATTTGGTTGCCTAAGTAACTGGGTGGTGTAGTGGTATATCCAGGATTGTTCAAAGCCACAGGGTAAGTAGCATATCTTCCTTAAATAGCAGTTCCTGGATGTGTAGGGGAATAATAATTTTATTAAACAAACATTATAGGATATTATACATTAATTTTTAAAATAAAAGCAAGGAATTTGAAGAAGGATCCAAGATTTCCACAGTTGTATTTTTTAAGTTAGGCTAATCTCCCATAAAAAGATGTGATAAAGTAATAAATAATATAAAATAATAAAGAAATTTCCCTCCCAACTAATGGTTCTCAGGTGAGTGCTGCAAGTTGGCAGAAACTGAAGATGGCTCTGTCATTTTTAACCATGACTTCCAAGTCACACTAATTATCACCATCCTAATTTGCAGAAAAAGTGCATGGGGCACAGTTGCAAAGTTTTGAGAAAGGCTACTATTCTGCTAATGTGTCTTCCTAGAGATATAATCAATGGTGGCAAGGCTATCTTAAAAAATTCAAGAAAAAGGCAGCTACATTAGCCTGGTCAAGTTAAAAAGCTAACTAAAGCGAAAATCTCTTTGTTAGAGAAAAGGACAAAATGTAAGTCATCTTAAAGTCAGATTGGGGTGGTAAAAGGAAAAAGCCATTTTGGGATTAAGGAAGACTATACCTGTCTACTGCATGGATCTAGTACATACTGATGAGAGTTTAAGTTTTGGTTAAACCTGTCAGCTATGGTACATTCACAGAGGGTACATCCACAGAAGTAGCAATGAGTTGAAAAAACTGGTTGCTCAGATTTCACCACTGCAAGCTCTTGGAGTTTAACCAAATGTTAAAGTTAAAACAAATCTGCAACCAAGGAAGTAAAAAAAACTTTAATAATAAATCTTTAGAAAAAAATGTCTACATACAAGATACCTATCAGATAAGAAGGTTTCCATAATAAAGGATTTATCTCCTGAGGTAGTTTCAGAAACATTCTCATCTAGAATCATTCAATATGTCCAGTTCATTTGGACATTCCAAATACAAAGCAAGAAAAGGGGTCCTTGCAAGATGTGTTCGTTTATTAAGTAAATATAAATATGGTTAATTATGTATTAAGATTGCCAGCACCAATTTATGCAAGTTCAGAACACACCAATGGAATAGAGAAGGTATTTTCATTGTCAGTTCACTCCCTGAAATAAGTAGACTATGTTCTGCTTCCTTTAGTAAAAGGAGAAGCTGGGCACTCATTTTCCTATGCGTGCACTCTAAATGTACTACTGGTGGGGGAGTTACATGGGAACCTAGTTGGTGCTTGTCCAAAGATGGGGTGTGTATATCCATGAAGGAATCCAAAATAGTACCCAATTAGTATAAAGTTCTTAAGATAGTATTAGTTTTGTGGTCTCAAAGATTTAGATCACCTTCCAAAAGGTGGAACTTGTTGCCCAAACTTAAAATATTTTAAGTGGAACAACACAGCTCGATTATAATATCATTCTACGACTTTTGGTAACTACTGTAGTTTAAAAAGAGGAGCAGTAATAATAGTCGCTTCTATCTACCTTAGAGGTAGCTTTGAAGCTAGATGAGAGAATAGACAAAGTAGATTTAAATTTGTCAGGAAAAAAGCAAGACAAAAATATAAAGCATATCTATTAGCCATTAGAATTTCTTAATGAACAGAAAATTAAAGCCTCCCAATAATAGCTCACCTATTTAAAAGGATATAAATTAAAGAAGAAAAATATTTAAATTCTATTTGAGAGCAGTGTACATATAAGCAATATTATGAGTAGGGTAAGGCCAGAATACTCAAAACAACTATAAAAGCATGGGGGGGAAAATCTATTTTGATGAATTGATTATCTTTGTATTCAAATGTAAATTATGCTGCACTACTGACCAGTGATTCTGTGAATGACACTTAGACATTTCTGTTTTGTTGACCTTTCAGCCAACAAAGCACCTCTTTAAAGGAATCTGTAATTTACTAGTAAGTGAATGGACCACAACTATAATTTGACACAAACTAGGTAAATGTGGGTCACACACAACACTTTCAAATGTTGATAGAATTAAACAACCATACAGAAACTTTATTGCATTTAGCTCTGTACAACAGAACACTCTCGTTTTTATTGTAGAGCTACCAGTTATATTGTAGTATAGCCATTCAAGAGGAAATTCCAATAACTGATTTTTCTAAAAGCATGAAAGCTGCTGCATATTATTTTGTTCTGTACAAACCAAAACTTTCTCCAAACTATTAAAACTGTAACTTCTAATGATATTAATCTCATTAAATCAGATATGTAACTTGCCACTTTTCTTTTATTCTGAATTCAAAGACCAGGTAACTTCAAAGTTTTTGGTTTTTTTCCTGAAAAGACTACAATGGATGTCTGAAATTATGAGTAACATTACTAGATAGTAAAAACAGGATGTGCAGACTGATTCAAGTCCAGTTCTGGCACACTGATTTTAGAACGCCACATTTCTCTCAGGAATTAAAAATACTTGAACAGAGTTTACTCCTTCCGTACTCTTCTTTTGCGTACTGACTTTACTGGCCCATCTCCAGATCCTGTACTCTCATCTGCTTCCTTCATCTAGAAAAAAGGAATTGTGAAAATATTTATTTTCATACTACGTGTAAACTAGTAGGTGGTAGTAAATAATATATTTATTATTCTCTAAAATACGTTCTAAAAATCAAATACTATCTTATATATGTTCCTTCATGCAGCTGACCAAAAATGTGTAAATTGATGTTTTAATCCTTTCACCTTTTGGCATGATTACATTTTTAGAATAACTCTGCTTATCAAATATGCATCTGACAAGGAATACTGCTAACAACTCAATTCACAATTTTATATTATGATTTAGAAAATTAAAGATTATATGATATTGTCATAATTAAAGATTATATGATATTTTCATTGGCAGATATTAAACACTAACTTCATCACAGTATTTCTGTAAGTAATGAATTGCTGGAGTGGTTTTACAGAATTTCTGGCATATATAGTACTTTGAGACAAATTAGGAGAGAGGAAAGGTAAACACCAAATATATGGTTTGGGTTTTTTCTTTCCTTTAATTTTTATCCGTCTAAAATAAGCATTTACACATAAATTAAACTTGTGTAACAATATAAAATAATGGAGTTGTTATATACTGGAGGCCTGGTGCATGAAATTCATGCACGGGGGGAGGAGGGGTCCCCTCAGCCCAGCCTGCACGCTCTCCAATCCGGGACCCCTTGGGGGATGTCCGACTGCCGGTTTAGTCCCGATCCCAGGGATCGGGCCTAAACCGGCAGTCGGACATCCCTCTCACAATCCTGGACTGCTGGCTCCTAATCGCTCACCTGCCTGATTACCCCTAACTCCCCCCCTGCTGGCCTGGTCACCCCTTACTGCCCCCACTGCCAGTCTGGTCACCCCCAACTGCCTCCCTCTACCAGCCTGGTTGCTCCTAACTGCCCCCACTGCTTGCCTGGTTGCCCCCAACTGCCCCTCCCCCTCCCACCAGCCTAGTTGCCTCTTACTGCCCCCCCTGCCAGCCTAATCGCCCCCAACAGCCCTCACTGTTGGCCTGGTCACCAACTGCACCACGCCCCCTGCTGTTGGCCTGGTCGCCCCTAACTGTTGCCCCCCCTCACCACCAGCCTGGTTGCCTCTTACTGCCCCCCCCTGCCGGCCTGGTTGCCCCCAACTGCCTCCCTCTGCTGGCCTGGTCGCCCCATGCAGCCTGCTGTTCAGTCATTTGTTCATCCCTCACTAACCCCCCTGCTGGCCTGGTCATAGGCAGCCATCTTGTGAGGGCGTGAGAGTTAATTTACATATTACCTCTTTATTATATAGGATTATACAAAAGAGTTAAAATTATATTGAAGGTTATAATATACAAAAAGTGGCTTATTTTAGCTCACTAACAAATGTATAT